CTTCGGCGACCTTGAGGGTCTGTTGATCTGACTCATTAACAACTCCATTTCCACGTGTGCGGTCCCTTTTTCGAAACTGCATGACTAACCAGCTGCCCCTATAAACAGGTATCACTACGAGCAATACCTATTAAATATGCTGATTCGGTCCACAGCTAAGATGCTAGTCAGCAACCATTTTGAATGCATAAGTGGCTGCTGATCTAATTCATTAACGACTCCATTCCCACTTGTGCGGCCCCTTTTTTCGGAACTGCAGAACTAGCTAGCTGCCTCTCTAAACAGATATCATGACGAGCAATATTTATTGAATATACTGATTCGGGTCCACAGCTAAGATGCTAGTACGGTGCCTCTCGTGGCTACGGTGCAGCAAGCGCAGCAACTGCTGATTGGTCAATCAAGAAAATTAAAATAAAATAAAGTTTGACATTGCGGAATTCTTCCCAGCGCAAATAATATAAATAAAATAAAGTAAATAAATATTCGTATTCATTAAAAATGAATATGCTCAGAATACGGCACTGAGAACGCATCGGTAGCATCCAATGTGTATATAAAGAATCTACGTGAAATGCATTGCATTGCACGCATTAAAATATACTCATTCATTCAATGTAGTATTTATTTCAATTCACGCTACACGAGTTAGCTACAGACACACACCACTTGCTTCCTTCCCTCTGGAACGCAGCCGCAGCAGCAGCAGCAGTGCTCCTGTGGTTGGTGGTGCCGCTGCTACCCCAACAGTAAATTCACGCGCAAACATTTGTGCGTGTATGTGTGTATATAGATTATTTATATAGAAAAATCATATATACAAGTAAGACCTAATTGCATATGTATACAGTCATATAATTGTATTCATATATTTGCACATGATTTGTATCAACATGCCTGTGCATTTGCATAGAGAGACAGAAACACGATTTGGTTGTTGCTACGAATGATTCGTCTGCCATTGCGAAAATGCAAGACAAGCAGAAACACCTCGACGCCAAAAGCTATTCCACGCCTGCTGCTACAGGTGCAGCAGTTGCTGCTGCTGCTGCTGCGGCAGTTTCTGCTGCAGTTGCTGCAGCAAGACGAAAAGACATTATTACCTTTATCGGGAAAATTGTCTACGCGTAGAGGGGAGGAAGGGGTGAAGGTATTTCGCCAGAAATACAGACACCGCGAGGCGTCAATAGTCCTGCTGCTGCTCTGCTCTGCAGCAGCAGCTGCAGGCGCCCCGGGGTTGTGTGCAATTATTTCTTGTTGGGTTCACTTAGTTGTTGAAGACGATCCGGAGAAGTGCTGCTAGAAAGACTGCGATGAGGATTAATAGGGAAAGGCTGGGCTGCTGCTGCTGCTGCTGCTGCAGCAGCCGCGCGCGGCTACTGGTCTCCTCCTCTTCTGTCGTGGCATTGTAAATGCTGCCGTCCTCAGAGATAGTTGGTAGTTTATCGGTGCTGCCTGCAGCTGTGCTGCATGCAGAGAAGTCCCACACAGTTTCGTTGGGACCTTTGCCTGCTACTGCTGTTGCTGCTGCGGTTGCTGTCGCTTCGGGAGTTGCGGCTGCTTCCTTAGCGGCACGCGCCTGAGCAATCACCTCTTTCATGTTGCGTGTGAGAGTAGGTACTGCATCGATTGCAGCACCGCCTTGTGCTGCTGCTGCAGCTGCCGCTGCCGAGATCCTCGAAGCCGCTGCTGCTCTGGCCTTTGCAACAGTTGCAGCAGCTGCTGCTGCCGCTGCTGCAGGGGCTTCTTTGGCTGCTGCCTTGGCCGTTGCTCTCGCTTCACAGAAACGCTTGAATGCGGCAGCGAAACTGTCTTCTGCTGCGGCAGGAACAAGGTTGTTGCTGCTGTTGCTGCTGTTGCTGCTGCCACTGTTGGCCGCAGCAGCATCAAACATAGAGCTGGAGGAAACAGTCCCCATGACAAGAGAAACGGCGCGCCTTCTGAGTTCCTGCTCCCTGTGTTGTTGCAGCTGCTGCATCTGCTGCTGCTGTTGCATTTGGTGCTGCTGCTGCTGCATCTGTTGCTGCTGCAGCCTACTGCGAGCAGCTGCAAGGGGCTCGGCCAGCGGGGACTCAAAGGAGTGCTTGCGGAAATAGCAGACGTGTCTGCAGCAGCCCTTGTCCGGGTGTTCATTAATCTTTTTAATAAGAGTGAAGGCAGCAGCTTTTAAGTTTTGTCTCTTTCTCGACTCAACAGATACTATGCGTTCAGCACAGGCCTCTTCTGCTGTCACAAATAATGGAGATATATTTATTGTGGCTCCCGTGGCTACACGCAGCGACTGAATGTAGCCTCCGTTCTTGCCTATGAGGGAGCCCACTACGGCCCGTGGGACGCAGATGCGCACGGTACTGAGCTGCTGCTGCAGCAGCTGCTGCTGCTGCTGCTGCTGCTGCTGTTCCTCGCTCAACAACGTGGACGCCCCGCCCGGACATTCGCCAGCCACTGACACCGAACCTCCCACTGCGGCTCCCGCTGCTGCTGCTGCTGCTGCTGCTACAGCCATCTTGTCCAGCACCCAGTCTAAAACGTGAAACACTGCCTGCTCGGGGCCCTCGACAGCCGCCACGCGCTCCATCGTTCCAGGGAAGTACATGCCATGGGGCGACAGCACCTGAAGACATAGCAGAGACCCAAATGACAATTAATTCATCACAATGAACCAACTGACACAAGCAAACCAAATCTAGAACGACACGGGGGCACGACTGCTTCTGCGAAGGCTGCTTGCCGCTGCACAGACAGAACTACAACTGCTGCGGAAGCTATTATTGCAGCGGCAGCAGCTGTATAGCAGTTGCAGGCAGTACTGCTGCTGCTGCTGACACTCGCAGTAAATATTGAGTGCTCAGGCTAGCTATGGCTCAGGGCTTGGTGTTTAGCAAAAATTGCCCTGTCGCTGTAATCAAGCGAGCCAAAAACAACAGAAGAGCTCCCCAGCTAGTTAGTGCCTACAGGATGTGCTTGGGTACTCAGGATTTTGATTTCAAGATTTAGTGTTTCCTTACAATCTTGGCCCCGGTTAGGGTTTTCAGGGCCCTGATCTCGTGGCCAGCTTGTCCAATGATGATCCCCGCAAGGTGATTTGTGACCAGTATTTTGCAGTAACAGTTGTTATCGTCTGCTGCATTGTTGCAGCTGCTGCTGATGCAGCTGCTGCTGTTGCTGATGCTGCAGCTGGTAGCGGCCCGGGTCTCGGGGAGTGGAAGAGAGCAGAGCTCTGCTGCCTTTGTGTCCCCCATTTCAAATTGAGAGGGACGGAGAAAAAAGGAAAGGTTTGGCGGCACGTCTGCTGCAGCTGAAGTGTATAGTCAGGTGGTGGTGTGGTGTTCAGTTGCGGTGTATGTGCAGTTGTTGGGCTCACTGTGTTCGTTGCTCTGCTGAGAAGACAGGGAGGTGGAAAGTGTATTTAAATTAGTAGACAAGAGGTTTGCTACTGCAAACCAATTAAATAAATGTATTAATCGTCACAAAACAAACACAGACAGAGGCATCCAGCGCCCTCCCTCAAGCAGCCAGCCGTTGCGGGCGGGGAGTGCCCACCGGTCCGTCGGCGGTGGCTGCCTGTCACTTTGAACACTGTGGGGCCGATTTTGGCGTAAATAAATCATTAAAATACAATTTTATTAAAGTTATTTTATTTAATTAATTTTTGATGTTTTAAAGACCAAATTAAAGCGAAATTTACGCGGTTTTCTCTACGCCTGCCTGCCCCTAGCCTCCAGCTCATGTGCTGCGCGAAGGCAGACCAGTGCTCTACACTGAAATTATCTCACTTTTGCCTCTGTTTGTTTACTTTTATTCTGTATTAAAGCTGTGTATTACATTTTCAAATTCTCTACTTCTAAAATCCTTGGCAACCCAGACCTGCCTTCCACGTGGACCGTGCTTGGCGCACAGGTCGGGTGGCTTGCTTAGGAATCTTCGCAAATGTCACCAAGCTGCATAAAATTGCATACGGGAAATGGGATACCAAGCGGAAGCTTCAAGAAAACTCAAAAGATAGTAGTAGAAGGCTTAGACACAAATGAGAGGAGTGAAAAGGGGGAAAACGGGGAGAGCGAAAGGACGCAAAGGCAGAAAGACAGTAGAAGGGGAAAAGCAGAGACATACCGAATGACGAACAGGAACAGATACAACCGCAACACACAAACACAAACTCTGGCCAACAAAATCTAGTAAGAACTAATGAAAAATCATACATACTCCTCTTTTTACCGCAGTGGAGGTTAATGGCTGTATATGAGTGACTTTCTTCATTTAGTATTCATGCTTCGGTTGCAGGCCATACACATCGTTTGTGAAGGACTAAGTCTAATACACATACTTCTGTTTCGCTTCTCTCCATTATTCTCTCCTTCTGCTCTTACTCCTAGTAGTTCAGGCATATCTCGTGCCTCCCTAATCAGAAAAGCCGAAGAGGCTCTGTGTGAAGGGCTCCGAGATCCAGAGGGCTCTCTCTGTTACTTCCTTCGCCGTTTCATTCGTCTTTCCCCTTTTCTTTTGCTTCTCCGTGGCTCTCTTCATTGCTTTTCCTTGTGTATCCTTCTCTAGATGTACCTGTGCTCCGGGCTATGCTACAAGGCTGGTATATATGCATCTATATGCTGAAGCCCCAACCCACAAACTCGTTACTCTGCTGATGATGCGGTGTACTGACACCTCAGGTGTGAGAAACCACTTAGTAAAGAAGAGCATAGGCAAATTGTTCAGCACAAATCCTGAAACGGCGAGGTTTCTGGGTGCTTGAAAAAAACGATTTCAAATCAAAGAGCCCGTACACCCGCGGTGGCCCAGATTTGTAGTAACCTCAAACCGTCAACTTTAGACCCTAAGCCCTGACCGTTAATGGCTAGTCAGGGGAACATCAATCGCCGCCTAGAGCCCTTTTGGTGAGGGGCCCTACGCTCTAGGTCTCCTGGCAGTCAACGCTGTCCAGCCAAATTCTTGTCCCCTAAGCCCTAGGCATCATACTTTAAACCCTAAATTCTAGGCCCCATCTACTCTGCAGTCCACAAGGCGTCACTTGGGTCTACAGACAATGCAATTTCTACAAGCGGGGGCAAAGGAAGCTCCGCGAGCCCGTCCATCGACAAAATGATTTCTCCAGCTAAAGGCTTAATACGAATGTTGCGGCCCGTGCCCATTGTGCGCTCGCAAGAGAAAATCCTACAATGATAACACGCAACCAGGCAAAGACAGGCATCACAGAGGATGATGCCCACTTGTAAATAATACTCAATTAGGATCCAAGACTCCATAAGGCACCTTGCCAACACCCAAAAAAGGGAAAGATAATTGAACTAAGCACGGCGACATAAGTAAGGTACAGAAACAGCCGTGTAGTCACGAAAGAAACAAACGCGAGGGGAAAATGAAACAAAAAGCAATGGAAAAAACAGAGAGATGTCGACACAAATAATCGTTCACTAAACGGCCGCTCTGAGCCTAAGCACACTCTATGTACCTGTTATCAATAGGCTCTCGGACAAGAAAACGCATCAAAGGGGCCGCCGGGTCCAGCAGCAGCTGCTCGTTAGCTTTTTGAACTATTTTCTGCAACTCTGCATCACTTAGGGGGCCCTCCATGTCTGCAAGACAACGGCGTATGCGCAAATGCATGCGTGGTGCGAAAGAAGAAGCTATGCATGTTTCAAATGCCCTTCACTTAACTTGTCTTCTAATTAAAACAAACTTAAATGCGTTCGTATTAATGAACTGCATTCTAAACAAACAGCGTCTGTGCCTGGACGTGCCTGCTTTTTTCGCCTTAATTGTTACCAGATGCTTTTATATTTACTCTAGATATCAATTTTATGGGCGCGTAGTATTTAATTAGTTTGTTGAAATGGAATTGCCGACCTTTTATTTTGGGCCTGAGAGAAAGCACCTGATCCACAATCGCTTTCGCCTGTTGTTTCCCTACGGCGCCCATATTGTAG